AGTGTATCATCCAAACCATTTGTGGAATGGTTCGATGATTTGGGTTATCGTTCGTTTATGGTTATTTTTTATTAGGGATGCCAAAAACCTCTTCTCATATCATGAAGTTAATCGAGCAAATTTGCTGCAAACTTTAAGCGATTAAGCAAGCCTTGTTTGTAGATTGATATCGAGATGGTTGCAGCACCGACAAACCGACAGGAATGACCATAGAAATTACCACGAAATTTCTGCTCAAATCACACTTCCGACATCTGTCTCCGTATTCGCGGAAAACGTTTATCCAAGCCACGAACACGAGTGATCTATTCTGGACAAGTAATTTTTATCTAGATGAAAAGTTTCTATGGTTTTGACAGATGGGATCGCTGCACATTTGAATAGGCCGTTATAGATTTTCGAGCGAAAGTTAAGTTTAAGTTTTATCAGACCCCCTTAACTCTTTGGAATTTATAGAGACAGATGACAGCGCCAATAGGTCTTTGGCGATACAACGTTGAACTGCAGCGTTGGAAGAAAACACGCACACCATCATCTATACATGTACGAACCCACACCACTGAGCGGAGGGTACAGCGCAAATCAAAACACGAAGTGGTGTCATTACTCATCGTCAGCACTCAGCTTCGGCAGCTTTAGCTTACGATTTAATTCGCCGTAATTAAAAAATACCTTCTTTATAAAATAGAAAAGTAATCATTATTCCAACGTAATTTTTGAATAGCCAATAGCGTGCAGCGTTGGCCAAGGAAGACGGCATATTTTATTACGTTTGTTTAGCAATGATTTTGATACGTTGCGTTTTTTTCCATGTATACTTCTATGCAACTTCTATTATGTTGAGCAACAGCTTCATAAATCATCAATTCTCGATTACTTTTTCGAAGGGACGTATCTGCATTTATTATTGTTTTCTCAAGGTTTTCTGATGCGTATAACGTGGTAATGATTGAAAATGGATGCAATCATAACAAAGTGAGAATCTTGCTATCGCAATATAATGATGATGACATCGATCATCCTCTTCCCTCGGTTGATCATCAACGTCCATGCTGGCATATGTCATACTGACACCTGTCATTTATTGAGCCCTGGTGATGAAGTTGGCGGGGGACTCCCAACAGTTTCAATGTCCACTCACGAGATGGCACTGCGATCACATAAGGGTGGTGTATCCATTGCCTTGTTCGAGGAATTGATTTGTGGGATATCTTGTTAATGAATAAAATATCTTTGGTTTAATATCAGATGAATATTTTTTTCGCAAGAGATCATTAATTTTTAATTATGCGATACGATTAAACTGAGGCCGCATTGCGCATTTCAAAACGAAAAACTTTATCATACAAGCGTTCGTACAAAAAGTCTTTCGTTTCAAGATGCGCAATGTGCCCCCTGATTTAATGTCAAATTGTTTAAATTTTAAGCAAAATGAGAATAGTTTGATTTATCAGTGTATGCTATAGACTTCTCTGACGTTTGTGAAATGCTGGCAATCGGAAGCAAATTCCAGATTTCCAGGATGGGTAATTTCCAGGGAAAGCTAGAATAAGCTTGGAAAATCCATTCAATAAAAGTCAGAAACGGAAAACGAAATAAACTTCTAGGTGAATTCTATGATTTCCTGGAAAAGATGGTATAAACTTCCTGGAGACGCCGGACAAAAGTTCTTGAGATAGTTCTAAAGAAACTTCCGAAGAAAGTCGGAAGTTTCTTCCGGTGAAAGCTAGAAGGTGTTCGGAACAGTCTAAAGAAACTTCTAAAATAAGTTGGGATAATAATTCCGGAAGAAATAGATTTTTGGGAGATGTTGAAAGAAATTTCCGGTGAAAATCGGTAGAATGTTCAAGGGAAAGTTAGCACAATATTCTGGGGGAAGTTGAAAAAACTAGCGGGAGAAGACGAAAGAACCTTTCGAGCGAAGCCAGATGAAGCTCTCGAGGAAAATCGAAATAACTTACTGAGAGGAATTGAAAAATATATTACGGACTAAGGTGAAAGAAAATTCCAATGGAAAAGTTTGAAGAAACTTCAAAGAAAAGATTACATAAACTTCAGCAAGTTAAAAAATAACATACTAATGAATTTTTTTGGTGACACAAAAGACACAAGTATTTACCGATTCCCAGGAATTACCGAGATGAGCCATTAGTTGTTTCTCGATTTCTGGGTAGCCAAACGGCGAGGAAATGGAAACACTAATCGAAAGAGTGTCAAGCATAAGCGAGCATGAATTAAGTACGTCACGCCATTTTAGGGGAACTCAACCCCTCCCCTTTTGTCACGTTTTTCCTATACATCATACATTCCCAACAAGCAATTTGAACTGATTAATACAAGAATAAGCTATTTTTTAGCTGAAGCAATATATTTTTGCCTGAATAAATCATTATTCAGCTTTTCATGTTCGTTGGTTTGCTTGTCGCTCATTTGTAAACCCCTTCCTCCCCCTTAGAGCATAACGGACTTAATGGATGCTCTTTAAGATTTGTTTAGATAAATAAATAAAATAATTATTATTTTATTACAATAAACGATAAACGGAGTCGATAAATCGGTATGTCTGCCAACACTGTTCTGGGATAGCTCTATTTGGTTCGTGAGGCAAACTTGATTTTCATTCAAATGAAATATTTCAACATCATCAATCGTCGCAAATCGTTGATGGAGAGTCCGTAAATAACAAAAGTGCAATGACTTTTATTAGTGAGACGTGCTTATTTAAAGGGCGAGTGATCCTACTGGATCACCACGGGTGTTATTTCTATTTTATCTTTAAGTTGTTCATATTTTATAGCTAAACATAAATTGCGATAATTTTAAAATTGGGGTGGATATTTAAGACCAATTGATGTTAATAAAACCTGAGCAAAGAATATTAATTCAAATATTATTATGGGTAAATAATAATAATATGGTTGAAAATAAACCAGCCCTTTTACAAAACAAGCGCATGTCTGAGGCTCCAGAGAGAGCCTGAGAGAGAACATTATTTTGACAGGTTGAATACTGATGCTGGATCTTTGGTTTGATGTCCATGCAGAGCGAAGAGAGCGAGAGCGAAGCGAGTCAAGCAGAAAAAAGTCTCGTCTCGAGTGAAGTCAGCCGAGTAATCGACCGTCTGAAGAAAAAGAACCTTTGTTACGGTGTTTTGGATAGCCGTTCCACAGCCAAAATTATTACCAAAAGTGAAAGAAAGTGGCTGACTTCACGAAGCAGTTAAAATAAAGTGCAAACGATCCGGATTCGGTGGATGAAATCCGATTTCAAATCCGGGCTAATCCCGCTGCTGAAGAAGAAGGCTCAATCGGGAAGGATTCGGGTGAGAGAATTATTCAACTATTTTTTGTTCTCCTGGAATCGTGTGCGGCTGTGTTGGTGTTTCGGGGAGCGAGAGCTGTTTTTTACAAGAAAGCGTAGCAAAACAGAGAGAACTGTCAAAAGTAAATGCCAGGTTTCTCTCTTCGGAGCCGTTCCAAAACTAACACGGAACTGGTTGCAGATTCAGTCAAAAATTGCTAAAAGAGTGTTTTTATTAGAAAATTACCAAAGTGGCTTAGGATTGATAAGCGTTCAAAGTGGAGTGAGATTGTATAGATTTGCGTTCGAAGAAGTTTAGTTGAAAATTAAAGTTTTTTGTTGTGTGGTGGCGATTGGAAGAAAATACAAACCAGATTATACCCATCTGACAGCACTTCCTAGGAGCAATCCGGTCGATCGACCTTCATGTTACTGACTCTTGTTGGGTCGTGCGTGCTTGTATGTCTAGTTGCAAAAAGTAAAAGAGATACAATTTTCCTCCATCACTACAAAAGAAAAGAAGTGCTGGTGCAGAAGTGAATTTCCTAATTTGCTAGAAACGCATTCGATGGTGTTGCTGTCGTAATCGAGCACGGGAATGAACACGGCCAGGCCCCGTCTGGTGCACACGAGAAAATTCCAGCTAACGTCGTCGCCATCGAAAAGGGCGAAAAGTAGCAGCGAAGAATCATCACCTCCGCCGACTGATAGCAGCAGCAGTGCTTTTACCATGGCTGAAGCAGCCGGAACGGCACCGAACGATGATCTGGAAGGCGGGGAGCAGCCGCCGACCAAGTTCACGGAAGCAGATCTGCAGGCCATCAAACTGACGAGTGACACGTTGAAGGTAAGAGATTTATCGTCTTGGGGAACAGGGAATAGTGCATGTAAATGCAACATCAACTAACTGAGAAAGAGCAGAAAAGGGACGGCACTCACGTTTATTGATTGGAGATTTTCGTGTGCGCGGGTGTGGGAAGCAGTTTTTTCTTTAATAAGATTGCATGAGCGGCAGATAGAGGTTTACCTATATAACTGTGTATAAAATCAGGTTTAATCACCGTGGAGGGAGGGGCCGCCACGGTGCGAGATAAGTAAACAAAACCTTCGCGCTGCATGTAGAGCAGGGAGAACGAACAACATCCCATGACCTCGTGATACCTTGAAAGCGTTTGGAATATATGGGGAATTTGTTTGGCTCTAGAAACTCTTCGTCGTTTTCTTAGTTTCCGTTTTTTTGCATCATTGCACCGAGATAGGACGGGAAGATAGATTCCCTGTAGTATGTAGCTATTTGGAACATGTAAAGAGATTATGATTGCTCCAGTGCAAAACCGATGCGAATGCTGTGAGGAAAAATCAATATTTATTTTAGTGTCGTTAGCACTCTCTCACTGCAACACACACGAATGATAGGCGGCTCGGTTGGTTGGTTGGATAGAAGGTATCCAGCGATGGGCGCCTTGGGATGTGCGGGGCGGGTACTAGAGCGAAAATAGTAGTGTAAAGCAAAAAAAAAAGCGTGTGCGGCTAGTTATGACGACGACGATGAGATTAAGCCAGAAAGAAATTGGAGCTCGCAAAAGAGTGGCGAAGCGAGGAATGTTTTTTGTGTGTACTGGTGTAGAGCTAACTGGCGTTTTTGGCCGTTGCTAGTTCTTTGTCAGTTTTGATATTTGTATACAACGATGACGCATAGCACAGTGGTCAAAATAAGCGAAACTTTTAAATACATCGATTGATGGCTCCGATGTTCTATTTCTTGTTTTTTTTATACAACCGGTTGTTTGAAAGCTATTATCTATCTACTACAATGATACGAATGGTATCAGGTGGTCGGATGCCTTCCTCTTCCCTAATTTAGTAACACACTAAATATTCAATATCTTTAAACAAAGTTTAAGCTTGAAGATCACAGCAAAATTATCTACCTATGTCCCAAAATTTTGATATTTTTTGATACACAATATTTTTCAATATCGAATGTTTTGAATTTTTCTGAGTTACAGAATCATCTTATTTGCGTTTTGGTGTAATGCTATACACTGTGTAACGCGTACGAAAAAACGTAAAACACTACCAACCGAGATTGCTAAATTCTCATGCCAAAACATTTTTAATTGTTTCGATTATGTTAGATTATGTTATTTTAGCATGCTAGACTCATTAACACATTTTAAAAACAAATTCTGGATTTACATAAAAAGATGTGATTTTTTTAAGTACGCCATTTGATTGCTTTTTGCCAAAAACGGATACTGTAATGGGAATTAGGTCGTTAAGTAGTACCGTCTTCGAGAAATCGTTAGAAACAGATCGCGTAATCAGCGACTTTAGGGAGAAAACCGCTTAAAACCCGACTCCAGAGTTGTTTATAACCAAAACAATAACTCTAAAACTCGCAACCTTCTTTTTGAAAGATTATCCCATGCTGTTGTGCTCACCGTTCCATTGTTCTGATCGTACTTGACTGTTTCTTGAATTCGATGTTAGCAAGGTCCTTACATCAATGATGAAACATTCGGCCATCAATAATTTACTCATGTTCTCATACCCTTTTCTCCAATTCCAGCGCAACCCAAAGATGGACTTTAGCAAAACCGATCTCCTCAAACTGCTGAGCTACCTGGAAGGGGAACTGCAAGCTCGGGACGTAGTCATTGCCGTACTTAAGACCGAGAAAGTCAAACAACTCCTCAACACTGCCCGCTACAGTAAGCCTACCAACCTGAACGATCCCCATGCCGCTCTCTACCGGGATAATCTTGCTTCAAGCGGGAACATTGCTAGTCGGCAGTCCTCCATCCAGGCGGCTTACTCCGAACATGAGATGCGATTGCTTAATGACCAACGGCTAGGTGTAAAGGAACAGATGGATTCCCTGGCGGGGCTGGTGATGCAACAGCGACAAACTCAAGCCAAGATGGTCGAAGTGTTGAAGGATGCCGAGGAGCGGTACAAGAAGGTTGTTCAGGAATTGGAAGAAGAACGCCGGAAGCATGAGCATACCACTGCTCAGGGCGATGACATAACGTACGGGCTGGAGATCGAGCGATCACGGTTGAAGCAGGAGTTGGAGCACGAAAAAGAGCAACGCAAGGTATTGGAACTGGAGCTGCAGAAAATTCAGGAACAGTTCGAAGCCGAGAAAAATCGACAGAAGCAGATTGTTCTGCTGTTACTGGCAGAGCGGAAGAAGATCATTATCAAGTATATCGAGGAACGAAAGAGAAGCGAAGATTTGGCACATATTTTGTCAGAGGAGAAACTTCGGGTCGACACGATAGCCGAAGGTTTAGAGGAGGAGAGCAAGAAGTCACTGCGAATGGAAGCCGAACTGGAGACGCAAACACAGCAGTTCGATATGGAGCGAAAAATGCTGCACCAGAGTTTGGCTAAGGAGGAGAAGAGGTTGGATTGCTAATGTGTATCAAGTACCTCTTAGCTATATCAAATTCCCTATTTTAGAATCAAAGAGCAAGAACTTGAAATCCAACAGCTGAAGACGGAACTAGAGCTGATAAGGAAACAGACTGGTATTCGTCATCCAATTGTAGCTCCGCAGCTTCCTACCAAACCTGGAGGTTTGATGCCATCAAGACCCTCGATTGGAGGTGTTCCAGGAGCACCAGGTGAGTACAGTGACATCATTTGGTGGCACTACTAATGGGATAACGGGTTTCTTCCACTAGCACATGGTTCATTATAAAATTATTGAAGTCAAGAGGACTCTAGATTGTTTTCTCATTTAATTGATTCATATATAGTAGTTTAAGCTTTAAAAAATGAGTTTAATTTAACCGTATTAATTGGGTGAAAAACCACTAATTTAAAAATTAACCATCTTTAAAGCAGCAATTTGCAGATCCTATTTGAATTTTCCTATTTTCTCTCTTCCCTAACCTCATTCTGGTATCAAAAATCACACCATAACCAATCACCTAACACCATCTACCAACATCTGAAACAATCCACACGCAGACGTAGACAACAGCGTAGTATCGTCCTCCTCTTCCGCTTCTGCCGCAGCTGGTTCTGTGGCGTCTGTTGCTTCTTCTGCTGCCGCTGCTGGATCTGCTGCTACTGCCGCTGCCGCATCTGGCGTTGGGATTTTACCACCCAGTGCCATGATCAGTAGTGTGGCCACCAAGGTGGTTCAGCCAACTGCTACCGTGTCTAGCGTGCCCGTTTCTGGACCAAGTAATTCTCTTCTTCTTGTTTGAACTACCTAGCTCTGTCTGTGCTGTGTGAAGCTGTGTCTATGATATCGTGGCTATGATCGCTGTCATCTGTTGCATTTTGTTCTATTTCACTACCCGTTTACTTCCATGTGTATTTTTGATTATTTTAAATGCTTGTTTGGTAATTGTTGATGAAATTAATGCTAATATCGTGTGAATATATAAACTTCATAATTCATATTATTCTTTGTTATGTTCTGCTTTTCTGCATTTTCTGCTTGTGTTATTTATGAATTTACAGTCAGAGTCTGCCACTGCAACAGTTTCATAAAATATTCACGTTACTTTACCGCAATGACAAGGCGCGAGATCAGGCCAATATAGCTTAGGGTATCAGTTGTTTATAATAAAAGGTAATGCACATATGTTCAAACACTCGCTCACGTTAATATTCTGGTTGGTGATGTCAGTTGTTACAAACATAATTTCTTATCAGCTAATTGTCTTGAAAATGTTGATTGATTGTTTTGCTTTAGTTGTTCTGAACCCTTTCTTTTCTGGTTGCAGTATACACTTTTTGATCAGTTGACAAGAAAACTGTTATCAAGATACTAGGCTTATAACGTGTTATAACTGCTCAGTTTGGCCGGTGTTTTTTGGAACATTCCAAAACCAAAAATCACAAGAGATTCCGTAGTAGACACACAGCTTTGAAAATCAAGGTTTGTCATTTTTTAAAGTGCACGCTAAACAGAAATACACAAAATTTTAGTTGACCACTTTTTGCTCATTCCACCATTTATTAAAAAGTACCGCCACTTCTTCTTTTGGATGCAAATCAACTAATTTCATGTTTTTAATCATCAATTCATAAACGAAATGAACTACAGTCAACTCTCCATACCTCGATGTTCTGTATCTCGACATGTGACCATTTTTCTATATCTCGGTCGCTTCAAACAGTCCAGTAGGGTAATGTTGTTCTATATCTCGATCTGTCTTAATCGAGATATGGAGAGTTGACTATTGTAGTATAGCAGCCTAATATTTTAAATGCATTCATGGCAACAACAAAAATGTTTACATATCTTAAAGAGCTCATTATGCCCTTATGCCTTTATGCTCAGAGAAGTCCAAAAAAATTACAACCTGAATATTACTTGGATCCGACCGGGAATCTACTCATTTCAGCTAAAACAATGTTTTTTTTTAATTATGAAATAATTAGATGCTATGATCATATTTTGAATTAGTAAGATACAAGAAGAGGTTGCAAAGAATGTGTTTGACATATTAAACCTGTTTATTTCACTTCATGAGAGTCACAATCAGCGATTTTTCACACACTCACTCACTCACTCACTCAATCACTCACTCAGCGATCAGCAAATCGCTGATTGTGACACATAGAAAGCAAAATTTACAGGTTTTATGTTTCAAACGCATACTTTGTAACCTCTTATTGTAAGTTACAAGTAAAACATGTCATCATACCATCTTTTGGTTTTATTATTCCGAAAAACAATATTTTAGCTGAAATGAGTATTTGCAACCTTGAATGTAACCAGCTGGACTGCCACTGCTTTGTATTTTTGCTCCTTGCGATTACAATTGTTAATAAAAGAATAATTATTAATAACGGCTAGGTCATAAAAATGACTCCTGGTGCCATTCCATACACCGAAAAAAGTTTTCATATAGTTTCCATTGGGAACGCATATGATATTTTTCCAATAACAAAATTAATGATTTTTATCTGAAATTCACATAACATTCATATGATCACATGAATTCTATGTGATAAATCACATAAATTTCATTTGACACATAAGGTTCACGTGATTTTGTAGTGCGATTCCCAATTATGAGATTACATGAAAGTTATGTGAAATTCTAATGGATATTTTCCATTGGAAATGTGATTTATTTTTTGAGTGTAGCAAAACTATATAGTGGTTCTCAGAATTTAATAAAAAATTGTAGTTTTGTTCCTTATCGCAAAATATTAGAGCTGTATTTTTTTATTTGGTCAGTAGGGTGACCATTTCCATATTAGTGTGGTCCAAAAAATCGATTTAATCGATTTTTACAAAAAATAACTTTCATTTGATATTTTGATATTTGAAATCAGCCCAGTGCAGTGGTTCAAAAGCTAAGCATTTTTGAAAAAAGTTAGTTTTGAAAAAAAATCAAAAGGATTGACCACCCTAACATGGAATTGGGCACCCTAATGACAAAGTAAAAAATACGGCTCTTAATTTTTGCGATAAGGAACAAAACTGATAACCATGCGATAAAGAACAAAACTACCAGTTTTAACGAAATTTGTGTCATTATTCATAATTATAAAATCATTACAGAGGGGATACAGGGAGAGTTGTACCCTTAATACAGTAACTTTATAAATTTTCAGAATTATTAAAATTTCGGAAGTTAATAATCTTGAAACATTTTATAATTTTAGGTAGAGGAAATGGCTCTAATGTTGGCCTATGGATCTAAGATTGGGCCCATCGCTAAAAATCTGCTATTTATCAATTTTATCTAATATTGAAAATTTAGTCGATTGCTGAATTTATGTATGGGCCCAAATTAGGGGCATTTAGGCCGACATTACATCCATTTCCCCTATATTTTAAATTTCATAGAAATTTTACGAAGTCTGTGAACGCTACTGGGATAAACACGTGTCATAAAGACATATTTTACAAATAGATGGAATAAAGTTTGAACATGTTTTATTCATCTTGAAATAGAGTTAATTGAGATCCGAAGCAAATTTAAAGACAGGGTTACTTCCACTCACTTGCTATAAAAAATGTTTTTTTTTTAATTATGAAATCATGAGATGGTATAGAGATAATTAGTACTTGTAAGTTACAAGAAAAGGACGTGAAGTATGTGTTTGACGCATACAATCTTGTCAATATTGCTTTCAGTGCGTCACAATCAGCAATTTTACGGCTCGTGAGTGCTCACTCTGAGTGAACGCTCACGAATCATAAGATCGCTTATTGTCACGCTCTGAAAGTGAAATTGACAGATTTTGTGAGTCAAACACATACTTTACACCCTTTTCTCGTTACTTACAAGTTCAACATATCATTATATCATCTAAGGATTGCATAATTCAAAAAAATATGTTTTTATAGCAAGTGAGTGGAAGCAACCCTGTTTAAAGATTTGGTTGATTGAAGAATCTTTAGGACTGTGAGATTTAATTATTAGACTAATTTTTTTTTAAATCTCACAGTCCTGAAGATTCTTCAATCAACCAAATCTTAAAATTTGCCTCGGATCTCAATTAACTCTATTTCAAAACTAATAAAACGGTTCTATGACACTACCCCGAATGTCACTACCCCGAACGCCATAACCCTGTACGCCATAACCTAGAAACGCCGTTACCCCGAATAGTACACTACCTCGAATGACCATTACCCCGAATGGCCATTACCCCGAATTCAAATAATTGCAAATAATTAATTCTTTGGATATACGATAAAGAAAGGAATATTCCCTTCTTTTAATATATACAAGGAAAATATATAATCAATAGTTTTTCGCAAGGGATTCGGGGTAATGACCATTCGGGATAATAACGTGTGGAATAATGTTATAAATTTGTAATCGGTAGTTCAACGTTCCATGCACCGATTTTTTAATCCATCGCCAGAAATTCTTCAACTCAGGTCGAACAATTCTTCGATAAGGTTTAACAGTTTCTGACTTGTTGAATTGGATTGCATAATAGACCCTTTGACTTTTTAAATGATGAACGAAGTGCTCGAAAACTTGAAGGTTGTCATTTTCTAAAGAGCTATAAAATGCTTTGGAATTGATAAATACATAGTTCCATAAAAGTAAACGTAGTGTATCATCAATAGTAAAGTGAAACTAATCAGAGAGTTTTATCATGAAAAATATATTAAATCATATATGTAAAATTTATCGAGAAAATTGGTATTCAAATGATGTATTATTCAGTGTGCAAGATACTTGCGGACCTGTTTATTTATAGACGCCTGTTCTGTAATATAAATCTGAAATATAATATCAAATGACCAAAAAAAAAAGTGATAAATAACTAATTTCATCATCTTTTCTGGGGAATGTTATAGAATCTAATAATTTATATTATAAGAATTTAGAGAGTGTCATTGTGAAAAATACAAAATACAGCATTGGAAGGGTTCGCGAAATTTCACGAAGTTCACCTAGGAAAAAGCTCGCGAATCATAGTTAACTTTTGCATCACTGATTTACATGAATCAATTTTAAATTGTTATTTTTATCATTTGTATTCAGTTTAAACGACAGAAGAAAAAAATCTTCTGAAAAATTTACCCTTATTTTGATCACATGCTGTTCTTCCATTTGTCTTAATTTCGGGGTTATGGCCATTCGGGGCAGTAGGATATTCGGGGTAGTGGCATTCGGAGTAGTGGCATTCGAGGTAACGGCGTTCGGGGTTATGGCGTTCGGGGAAGTGACATTCGGGGTAGTGTCATAGAATCGCATAAAACATGTTCAAACTTTATTCCATCTATTTGCAAAATATGTCTTTATTACACGTGTTTATCCCAGTAGCGTTCACAGACTTCGTAAAATAAGGAAGTATTCCTCAGATTCTGAAACAAGAAAATTGTATAGGGCTGAAGAATATTTTCATTTCCTGGACCTTAGAAAAATAATAATCCAAACTTGAAGAATTCTTCAAGATTCTGGAACGAAGATTCAGATGACGGATCTTGACATTTTTCCAAGATCCCAGATTTGAGAACAAATATCAATATAATGGATCTTAGAAAATTTTCAAGGTTCATGGACTTGAAGAAAATATTCATGATTCTGGCATTATCTTCAGAATTTATAATAATTGTTGAGGTTAACTTACACGGAATTCTAAGGAGTATTCAAATAGAGTTTTGACAGGAATTCTATTTTAGTTTTGAGGAGAACTTCAAGCGAAAGCCATGGAATGCTTCTGAGGACCTTTTGATTCCTGGTAAATGCATA